ATGAATACACTGATCGATAAGGTAACCGTTGAGGAAAGCACGAAAACAGAGATTTAGCGAAGAAAACCAGAAGAGTTGACAGAGAATGGCTGAAGATAAAGGATGATAGATGGGATCAGAAAGGACTGACATTCGATATATGGCCAAATAAGGACATTTGGAAGATATATAGAATTAGAATTGATTAGAAGTTAAAATAATTCAACAAAAGTTTTTCTTAAAAATGTAAAATGCCAGATAGACGCCCTGAGCAAAGTTGATATAAAAACCTACCTAGAGCCTCAAACATGAAGGCTTGAACCTAATATTCTTGCCTGCCTGCTGCTGATTCTTCTGTTGCTATTGCTGCTTTCACGCTTGACCGCGTTTATTTCCGCCTCTTTATTTTTATTGCTGCTGCTGTTGATTTGTTGATGTTGCTTCGCTTTATTTACTAATGCCTCCCATATACACAACTAGCAGCATGGCCCGGCGTTGCCCATGCTTGATTCAAAAATCATACGACTCATACAGCAATCGCTATCACTTGACTTAAAATATTTTTACCCTTCCTTGCCTTTAAACGTGTGCCCTTTGCCGTGCTGATGTTGCTACATGCCTTACTTCTTGTCTATCTCACACTGCGAATTTTTTCTCTATACTAAACATTAAATCTGTTACGAGAAAAGAACTAAACAAAATGAACACAAAACTATCAGCCTTAAAAAAAAAGGACTCGTAACTGGAAAAACCGATGAAAAAAGAATGTTAACAACAAATACTTTTTCACACCCAACCCAGTTCTGCGGCATCAGAAACAACGTGAGATTAAGCAAGCGAATGAACCAATTGGTGTAAAGTGCCATGCAGATTTAAATTTTACCCACTTGTGACGAATGCAGCTATCGATTTTTTTTTGTATGCTAGCATGCTAGTTAACATTCGTGTCAGTCAGCTGTTGGCTCTCACGCTGGCCAATAGAATCTCCCTGCCTATTCGTGGCAGCCACCTATTGGCTCTCACTCTAGCCAGTACAAAATGGCAGCAACTACATGAAAACTGCCGTAGAAGCATGAAAAAATCGATTATTTCCACTATCAATGGGAGTTGGGAAATGCAAAGTCGGTCTTGGCCTTTTCGCTAACTTGGAGCATGTGCATGTAAATTTTGGTGAAAATACGTCGAAAATTGCGGCCGTGCATTCGTTACACACACTCACACACACATACACACACACACACACACACACACACACACACACACACACGCACACACATCCTGCCTTTTATAGATAGAGATTCACGGTTTTCCTATTTTCATTTTCCGATGAATTTTATTTCTTAAGTTAAGGATTAAATAAGCTGAAAGCGAGTTCTACGACAATAAAATATCCAGAGAACTCCCCCTATGACACCGATAAATATTTGAGCTTAACAACATTTTTAAAAAAAAAATATTGCAATAGCAATCATAAATATGAATCCTGGTCGCCACTTTAAGAAGTCAGTACAAATGAAAAAAATTGACATTGACAATATTTTTTTTTCATTTCATTAAAACAGGCGTTAAACACTTCTATTTTCCCTTCTTTCTATATTTCTTTCTTTCTATATTTCTTTCATTCATTTTCTCACTGAAACTAAGTAGCATCTCTGATATGTGTTTTATCTTTTGACGCTATCAAAACGGAATAGTCCATTATTTATGAGGTACTGGCAGGACGTAACGGTAGTGCGAACTAAGAATCTAATGAAAAGGGGGACAAGCATAATTATTATATGATATGTTTTGTGGGTGATAAAAATTATTTTCCACTCTACTACTCCCTTTTTTTACAAATGAATCATTGCAAGCCTCTACATAATCTATCGCTATTTCCATGGAAATTGTTCAGACAAACTATATTCCTTAATTCCACCAGTTCTAATCTACTCAACTAAACCCCACCATGCCACGTACATTGTAACGAACCATCGTCATTCAATTTCTATTCTAAAGGTGAGATGTAAGTTCAACTCGAGAAGCTTCTTTCCACGTACCACTGCGTTGTGGAACCGGCGCCCAAGAGGATGCTTTCCCGATCACTGCATTCAAAACCTGTCAACCGTTATCTTCACCATATATTCCCATAAACTATGTTTCTTACTCTGTAATATTCTACCTCGAGTGGATCTTGGGCCTCGTACAGGGTGAACATCATTGTAAGAAAAAGGCCTACTAAAGAGGCCCTCATAACCAAAATATCCGCTTGTTTAGCATTCAACACAGATTCCCCTCAATATATAAATACATAAATAAATGTTTAATTTTCACTGAAGATTACCCGGACACAAGAAGAAGGTTAATTGCTATGGTAATAACAACAAAGAGGAAGATATTAATCCGAATGTAGATGTTGCAAATAAGGATACCACTTCTTCTTAGAAATCCAGAGAGAAAAAGTCAAAATGTATAAAAGGTTCCCCCTATCGACTAGTTCAAACTTCTACGCGGTCTTTTGAACAGGAATAGAAGGTTAGCATTGTTTTCTGTTTAGGATTGTTTTTCGGTTCCTTCTAAAGTTTGCTTTAACTCTATACTTCTAAGGTCTCCGCCTAAATCTCTTAACTTATTATTTACTTTTATCTTTTCTCAAAGAGTAAATGGGTTCGCCTATCATCGTTGTTTTTGTTTGACAGCATATCAACATCTCTATAGGATATTTAATACCGAAATCTAAATAATTTGTACACAATTTTATTTTTTGAGATAGTAATGGTTTTAGTGATATAAATATTACTAATTAACTCATAGCTGGAGGGAGAGGAGGTGGAGTCATACCACTACCAAGCGCGTAAGTGACTATAACAAACCCAGTTGGAATTGGAACTCAGCTCTCCGATTAAGAATTCGAGCCATTATCCATTACACCACATGCACATCCAAACTTACAGCACCTGGCATTCTGAAGCGGTCAGATATTGACCAGATTCGACATTGCTTAACTTCAGTGATCTTACAGGTGTTTCAACATGATGTAGCCGTAAGCCTTATCGTCTGGATCGCATTCCTCCCCGGTCTTTTCAATATGAGTAGATATTTTCCATCTCTTTCACTTCCTTGCGTCTTGGTGGCATTATGACCTTGCTTGGATTGGTACCTCTTCCTTTGTAATTTTCTGCCTCGAGTGGCTCTTGGGCCTTGTACAGAGTGGGCATCATACATAGATTAGATGAACGATAAGTTCTCGTGGATAATTATACATATTTAATATTTAATGATTAAAACAAAAGAATAGATAATAAAATTCCAATTTTACACCGATTATGTTATTTAATCTGATATTCACTTAACAAATATCGAAAGATATCTATCAAAATCTGAACAAATTTTTAATCTAATTTGAACGCAGCTATAATTTAAATATTGGGTGATTAGATTATGATTAGAGAATATTTGAGATTTTTAAATGTAAATTCATTACAAATAACTAACGGCAAGGTTATATCCCAAGAAAAAATTCTTTAAATTCACTTTTGATTGGTGCAAAATAAATATGTGAGTGTATCGCTTTCACATTTGAATTTTTGTCAGCCAATCAATAAAGACACGAGATTTTAACAGACATTTTTGATCTTCATTCCTGTTGTTCTATGATCTCTTTTCTCTTCCGATTCTTATTTTTACTTATGCTGTTTTTCTTCATTTCTTTGATCTTTTCATTCCTTTTTATTTCTTTTCTTTGATTTCATTTCCTTTTCCTTTTTATTTCTTTTCTCTCATTTCTTTTCCTTTTCCTTTTTATTTCTTTTCTCTCATTTCTTTTCCTTTTTATTTCTTTTCTCTCAGTTCTTTTCCTTTTCCTTTTATTTCTTTTTCTCATTTCTTTTCCTTTTCCTTTTTATTTCTTTTCTCTCATTTCTTTTCCTTTTTATTTCTTTTCTCTCATTTCTTTTCCTTTTCCTTTTTATTTCTTTTCTCTCATTTCTTTTCCTTTTTATTTCTTTTCTCTCATTTCTTTTCCTTTTATTTCTTTTTCTCATTTCTTTTCCTTTTCCTTTTATTTCTTTTCTCTCATTTTTCTTTTCCTTTTTTATATCTTTTTCTCTCATTTCTTTTCCTTTTCCTTTTTATTTCTTTTCTCTCATTTCTTTTCCTTTTCCTTTTTATTTCTTTTTCTCTCATTTCTTTTCCTTTTATTTCTTTTCTCTCATTTCTTTTCCTTTTCCTTTTTATTTCTTTTCTCTCATTTCTTTTCCTTTTTCCTTTTATTTCTTTTCTCTCATTTCTTATCCTTTTTATTTATTTTTCTCTCATTTCTTTTCCTTTTCCTTTTTATTTCTTTTCTCTCATTTCTTTTCCTTTTTATTTCTTTTCTCTCATTTCTTTTCTTTTCCTTTTTTTCTTTTCTCTCATTTCTTTTCCTTTTTATTTCTTTTCTCTCATTTCTTTTCCTTTTCCTTTTTATTTCTTTTCTCTCATTTCATTTCCTTTTTATTTCTTTTCTCTCATTTCTTTTCCTTTTTATTTCTTTTCTCTCATTTCTTTTCCTTTTTATTTCTTTTCTCTCATTTCTTTTCCTTTTCCTTTTATTTCTTTTCTCTCATTTCTTTTTCTTTTTATATCTTTTCTCTCATTTTTTTCCTTTTCCTTTTTATTTCTTTTTCTCATTTCTTTTCCTTTTCCTTTTTATTTCTTTCTCTCATTTCTTTTCCTTTTTATTTCTTTTCTCTCATTTCTTTTCCTTTTCCTTTTTATTTCTTTCTCTCATTTCTTTTCCTTTTCCTTTTTTTTTTCTTTTCTCTCATTTCTTATCCTTTTTATTTATTTTCTCTCATTTCTTTTCCTTTTCCTTTTTATTTCTTTTCTCTCATTTCTTTTCCTTTTTATTTCTTTTCTCTCATTTCTTTTCCTTTTCCTTTTTATTTCTTTTCTCTCATTTCTTTTCCTTTTTATTTCTTTTCTCTCATTTCTTTTCCTTTTCCTTTTTATTTCTTTTCTCTCATTTCATTTCCTTTTTATTTCTTTTCTCTCATTTCTTTTCCTTTTCCTTTTTATTTCTTTTCTCTCATTTCTTTTCCTTTTCCTTTTTATTTCTTTTCTCTCATTTCTTTTCCTTTTTATTTCTTTTCTCTCATTTCTTTTCCTTTTCCTTTTTATTTCTTTTCTCCCATTACTTTTTCTTTTTATTTCTTTTCTCTCATTTCTTTTCCTTTTCCTTTTTGTTTCTTTTCTCTCATTTCTTTTCCTTTTTATTTCTTTTCTCTCATTTCTTTTCATTTTCCTTTTTATTTCTTTTCTCTCATTTCTTTTCCTTTTCCTTTTTATTTCTTTTCTCTCATTTCTTTTCCTTTTAATTTCTTTTCTCTCATTTCTTTTCCTTTTCCTTTTTATTTCTTTTCTCTGATTTTTTTCATTTTCCTTTTTATTTCTTTTCTCTCATTTCTTTTCCTTTTTATTTCTTTTCTCTCATTTCTTTTCCTTTTTATTTCTTTTTCTCATTTCTTTTTCCTTTTCCTTTTTTATTTCTTTCTCTCATTTCTTTTTCCTTTTATTTCTTTCTCTCATTTCTTTTCCTTTTCCTTTTTATTTCTTTTCTCTCATTTCTTTTCCTTTTACTTTCTTTCTCTCATTTCTTTTTCCTTTTCCTTTTTATTTTTTTTCTCATTTCTTTTCCTTTTCCTTTTTATTTCTTTTCTCTCATTTCTTTTCCTTTTCCTTTTATTTCTTTTCTCTCATTTTCTTTTCCTTTTCCTTTTTATTTCTTTTCTCTCATTTCTTTTCCTTTTTATTTCTTTTCTCTGATTTCTTTTCCTTTTTATTTCTTTTCTCTGATTTCTTTTCCTTTTTATTTCTTTTCTCTCATTTCTTTTCCTTTTCCTTTTTATTTCTTTTCTCTCATTTCTTTTCCTTTTTATTTCTTTTCTCTCATTTCTTTTCCTTTTCCTTTTTATTTCTTTTCTCTCATTTCTTTTCCTTTTCCTTTTTATTTCTTTTCTCTCATTTCTTTTCCTTTTGTTTCCTTCTCTTTTGTTTCCTTCAATTTTCATCCCTCGTCTTTATTCATTTTAATCTTGATTTACTTTCTTTTACTATTTTTTTGTTTTTTAAAACTTTTATTTTTCCATTTAATTTATTTTTTTAAATTTCCTTTTATTTTCAAAGGTTTCTTTTCTTCGGTTTCATGCGTTTTGGGGATTTACGGTTATGTCACGTTGAAACACCTGTACTTGTCAGATCATCGAAGAGAAGCAACATCGAGCCAGGTCACTACCCTGATAGGTGACCACTTTGGAATAACAGGTGCCGTAGGATTGAATGTGAGACTGATGTTCTGGATATAACTATTCGCTTATGTTATGAATCCATCTCTCCTCCATAGACAACTAGACGTTAAATAGTAGAACTTGTATTTGAAAATCATTATCTCTAAACAATTGTTAATAGAATATTGTAAAAAAAAACGAATTATCCTTACAATCCTAAAATATGTTTCGGCTTTAAATAACCTACAAAGGGTTGATAAGCCGTAAAAACAAATCAACTTTTCCTTTTATTTTTCTTGATTTTTCTTTTTCTTTTGTATTCTTCCTTGTCATTCGTTTTCTGTTTTCGACTTTCTTTTTTATTCCTTTTCTTTTTTTTTCTTTCAATTTCTTTCTTTTTCATTTCCGTTTTTTTTTTTTTTCTTTCAATTTCTTTCTTTTTCATTTCCTTTTCTTTTTTTTTCTTTCAATTTTTTTCTTTTTTCATTTCCGTTTCTTTTTTTTTTTTCTTTCAATTTCTTTCTTTTTTCATTTCCGTTTTTTTTTTTCTTTCAATTTCTTTCTTTTTCATTTCCGTTTCTTTTTTTTTTCTTTCAATTTCTTTCTTTTTCATTTCCGTTTCTTTTTTTTTTCTTTCAATTTCTTTCTTTTTCATTTCCGTTTCTTTTTTCATATTGTCATTTTCTCTTTTTTCTTTCCTCTCCTTTCCTTTTTTATTCTTTTTTCCTTTCCTTCCCTTTTTCTTTCATTTTTTTTATTTCCTTCGCTCAGATTTCATTTGTTTCTTTTCTTTGACATTTATAATTTGGCGAGTTTGCCCTCTTCGACGTGGTGCAATGGTTGGCATCCTGAGCGCTCCATGCTTTCAGCCTTGTGCCACATCTAAGCCTCGCTTATGAAATCACTATAATCCCGCGATTTCTTTCATTCGTCAAAATATTTTTTTTAACAAATCAGTAGTTTTCTGAATTTTGGTTTTTACCCCAGGAATGGACATAAATAATAATATTTTCTCAATGCACTTACCGTATATTTCCACGTATAAGACGACCTTTAAATCTTAAAAATTGCGAAAAAACTGGTTAGGCTGAGGAATTATGTTTGCGGAACGGTGTCACTCTGCTGCAAGACAATTGTACCCCTCCTACGGCAAAATAGTGTATCCAGTGTTATGGTTAGGATGTTTTAACGCACCCACTGCATAATTCAGATTTAGCTTCTTTAGATTATATGTACTCCTATATGACAGTGAATGCTGGATAATCTCTTCAAAGATGTGGAAGAGGCTTGAGTTAACAGAAATGTGCTTCTACAGAAGGATACTGAGGATACCATGGACCGAGAAACGACGAGGCTTTAAGGGAAAATGGAGACAAAAAGTATAGTTATATATATATACATCAGGTAGAGACAGTTGAAATTTATGGGACCCATAATGAAGAAGGGGCTGTTTGGAGAATCCGATACTCACAGAACAGATTAAGAGAAAGATGGGCGGAGGAAAACAGCGCATGATATACCCAATGAGCTTGTGTAAATGGATAACGGAACAGGATTTAGGAGAAACAACGAAAAAAGCTGTATAGGTCATGAAGTTGTGGAGAGCCGTGATCGTCTATGCTGTGGGGGACGCAGCACATAAAGTAGAAGATATATTTTCCATTTGGGCGACTCAAACAACGTTTATCCGGTAAACGCTTCCACACATTTGATGCTTTTACTGCAAAGGTACAAAAACGGTTCGGGCCGCTTGCCGCTCTTGTAGTGCACGGACGATATCGTGTATCGATGTGACAAATGCAACAACCATAACGACGACTACGTAGAAAAACAACATTGTAGTACTAGTAATATATACATAAGGTTTGATTTGTATCATAATAAACATGTTGTAGAAGCAAATATTTGTAGATAGTTCTCTTACATCATCCAGAAAAGGCTGCTAACGATGTTGCACTCTCTGTTAATGCATCTAAAATTGAATTTAACTGCAATGCTCAATGCAGAATAATATCTCAGGAGAATCAATAAAATATGTCGAATCTTTTATATAACTAGGAAGCGAAATATATTCTACAGAAAAGGATGTGAAAATTCGCATAGCCAAAGCCTGGGCCGCCTCAGATAAAACTGATGTAGTCTAAAAAGCAGATCTACCAGAAATCCTCAAACATGGATACTTGCGAGCCACTATAGAGACGTTGTAAATCTATTGTGCAACTACTTGCACATTAACTAAAACTCTAGAGTCTAAACTTGATGGAACCTACAGTCGGATGCTGGGAGCTGTATTTAACATCTCTTGGAGAAAACATCTAACTTAATCAAAGCTCAATGGATCCATCACTGATATTTCTACAATCTTACACGAACGCAGACTGTGATTTGTAGAACACTACTAGCGAACAAAACAAGAACTCGCGTGTGATCTGCTGCTCTGGACGCCTAGCCGTGGCGCAAGACGGGGTTGGTCGTCCAGCAACTACCTACATTGAGCAACTATGTTATAATACTGAATGCCACCTTAATGACCTTCCGACCTTGATACATGACGGAATGTTTAGAGTGATAGACTCCTGAATGACCGACATCAACATATATGTGTGTGTTTGTGTGTTTTCTATTATCTTCATTCTTTTTGTTTTGAACAATCCATTCTCCAAACTTTTCCAACATAATCTAAAGATCTGGGTTGAAGTATTACTGTTATTCCATTGAAGAATTGAGAAGGGACCAGACAACATCTGTTGATAACAATATAGATGAAAATAGTAGTCTAGAAATTTTTCTGTTCTGTTTTAATTGAAGAATAAATACTTTACTTTGATTATGACCAGCTACCTATAAAAAGTTGATTCTGTGCCACAAGTGTACGAGATAATTTACCTGTGAACTTTTGTAGATGAAGCATTATAATTTATTATTAATGATTTGATTAATATTACTTTGAAACTCTTTCAGGTTTGTTAACGTTTAATGGTATTTTTTCATCTTGATTGCAGTTACTTTTTATTACAACTGACATTCTATATCTACCAGTAAGCAATATAGATTGGAAATAAATTATAAGGAATGTAAGTACAACCGTATCCGCCTCGAGGTCCATTACAAGGAGACTCACTTTTTCTGTCAAACTTGTTCAACCATTTTTACGTTTTTGGTCTGAGAATCTGTATCCAAGAAAGTTTCTATTGTTATTGAAAACTTAGACATTCCATAGAACATGGAAAAAATAAATTTCGTTTTTTTACCAAGTATCTTGCTGGTTTATTGCCTTTTGAAGTCGTAATTATAAAACATTTCAGATATTTTCTCTCAGATTGATATTCTTACGCTAACGTTGAACAAAAAACAATAATTACGTTGGTTTTGAGTATTATCATTAAAAACACTTATTGATCTTCACTGCTAAATTTCTTCCCCATTAACCAGTGTTTCTAAGAAATTTCCAAATTTTATAATCAGCCATGATTTTCAAATTATTCAGACTTACAATCGTTCGATTATTTTTAAATCTTATGCCCAAGTATTTTCTATCATTGATTTATCAAAATTGAATTCAACCATTGTCAAAAGTCGATTGTCATCCGAATCTACGAAGAGACGCCATTAATAAGTTTAGGTCAACATCGGAAGTAAACAAGTGCATATGGAATGCATTCAATGAAGAAAAAACACCACTAAAAGAACTGCCATTTTCCAGGAATTCATTTGCAGATTATTTACAGTTCTCTAGTTATGGCCATTAGAATGGAATTCGTAGATTTTCCATTCATAATAAAGAAAAAAGACACAAGATTTGTTTTTATTGGAATAAAAGGCCGACAAGAGAATTTGCAAGATAATAGAAGCGAAGAATAAGTAGCATTAGAATTATAAGTGAAAAAGAACAAAAAAGCACAAGAAGAAAGAGAATAATTAGAATAAAGAGAGGAAAAGAAGAGGATTGAGAAGAAAGAAAGGAAACAAAATTGAGAAGAAGAAGAAGAAGAAAGGAGAGTGCGAAGAAAAAGATAGGAAAGTGCGAAGAAGAAAAAGTGGAAGATGTAGAAGAAGAAAAAAAGAAAGAAGTCCGAAATGCGAAATGTGAAGAAGAAGAAACAGAAAAAGAAGAATTGTTATATATGATTCTAAGACACGTGTGAAAGGCGAGGTGCCTTTGATGTTGTCGTTCGTAACGTTACATTAGGGCAAAATTCCAGTAGAATTAACGGCCATTGATAGAGAATGCAAGCTTTGTGCGTATTTGAAATTCTTTCATTTTCTCGTTTCTTTTATATAGGATAAATGTAGATAGTGTTGTGGTCAATGTATAGATTTGAGAAGGAGTTTAATGTTCGATATCTCAAAAGTAGTACAATGAAAGTACATGATTCTAAGTCTTAAAATAAGTAGTCAAATAAATAAAACCATTCACGTGTACTTAGTGCTGTTTCTGTAGTAAAAACAGAACCAGGGAATAAAATTATACCAAAGCTTTATCGCACTTTACTCTGAATAATCGTCTTACAGAGTGCTTTTTGTACCTCCAAGATCTTAAGGGTCGGTAACTGATGATTTATCAGTACAGTTTCTTAATATTAGAAAATAGACATGTTTTGTTTTTTTTTTAAAACTGGGGCTGACATGTCAGAAATTGAATCAAGTACATCATTTTATAAAATTGAGTTGCAAGATTTACAATGAGTGTAACAGTTCTGAAGTTATTTTTTTATCAGGAATTAACTTGTTTTGAAAGTTTTTTTTATCAGATTTTAAACGATTAATTTGAGTTCATTTTTTAGGTAGTTTCAATATGTTTCATTAAAGTTATTGGACTTATTATAAAGTCATTATACAGATTAAACTAATTAAACATTTGAAACCTAAGAAAAGCAATTTTTGTCTTCAGCATTTACTGAAACATGGATAATGGAAATGATCTAAGAAATTCTGAAAAACAGAAAAATAACAAAGTTATTGTGTAAGAAAATGTCCACATTGCAGATATCAAAGGAGCTTCGTAGAGATCATCGAACGATAAAGATGGTTGTTAAAATTATAACTGAACTGAAAACAAGAAGCAAACGTACAGGATTTAATAACTTATCTCCTCGAGTGGGACGTAAACTAGAGTTAGTTATAACGAAAAAATAACTTTTGACTAGTGCTCAAATCTTTGAAGAGGCTGGAATTGAGGATGCCAAGAAAGGATAAAGGTGTGGAATACTTCAGAAATTGAAATCTCTCAAGAAACACCTCTCAGTAAAGAAAATATTTTAAAGCGTCAAAATCGGACCAAGAAATATATGAAAATTGACTCTCTAAAGTAATTTTCACCGACAAACCTCGGGTAACACGCGATGGTACCGATGGATAGGTCACAGAACGGATGTTATTCAATGCAGATGTGTCTATAGCTAAATGAAGGTATCAAAGAAGTGGTAGTGTGTTGATAGGAACTGAAATTGTCGAACAAACTATTGTTTGACTATACAAAGCCAATGAAGGAGTTAAACTGAAATGTGCTAACTTTTGCCTTTTCAGAGACAAATCCCAAGCTTACAGTTACAAAGTGAAGTCTGTATTTATGCATGACAATTGTCTTTCTATATGTACCTAAGTTTACTTTTTTTTCAGTGGAAAATGTTTAGAAGAGAGAAAATAATGGAACTCCTATTGTCAAATCTGAATCCGATCGAAAATTCATTTGTGAAGTTGTAGTTATATGAAGGTGACAAAAAATATGAGAGCAAAGCAGACGTATGGGAACGAATTCAAAGCACCACATCGATAATAGAACCCGTTAAAGTAAAACATTTACCAAAATCAACGGATAATAGTTTGCTAAATGTTATTGTGAAAAGTATTATGATGTAATTGCTTCAAAGAATTTTATGTTTATTT